CAGAACTTCCGCCTCGGGATAGTTACTGCATCAACGCGAAGATGCGCGCATCGCACCGCGAAAAAAGGTCCATTGAGAGTTACGGTATTATATACCGGAGAGAGAAGCATGCACCCTGGAGAGATCTGTTAGAACCGTCTAATACCGTTTAAATGCAATGAATCCGAATGGAAATTGTAACGCAGACTCTCGATTCTCCCTTCGATTCAATACTCGACTCTTGATTTTCAACTCTCGTTTTTTCACTGTCGATTTCGACTTTTCATTTCCAACGCCTTCAACTTTCCCTCCCCCATCTTCGTCTCTTTATTTCTAATCTTTCAAATTCGCAGCTACCTCAATTCTTAATTCTCGATATAACACTTTGCATCGAATTTTAAATACGTTTCAAAAATAGCCTAAAAGTTCAAGTCTTTCAAGTCTCATATCTTAAATTAAACATTTTTAATGTTTCTATGAATTTATTAGATTAATCACATAGAGAGAATTTTTTCTTAGAATTTATCTTGAAAATCATGGTAATCGTGGGACAATGACAATACGGTATTGGAAGAATTTTATAATAGTTTCTCTGATTAATATTTACTACAATAAAAAATATTAATATCTACTACGATATAAAAAATATGTTCGATTAATTTTACTATATACCTACGTACAAAAAAATTTATTAAATTCGAATAAATATTTATTTCAATACTGTCTTATAAATCATTTATTTGAAACTAATAATATTGATTTGATGTGTGAAAAATATTTTTTTGATAAAAGAAAATCCTTTTCAAAACAGATAAAAATTTGTTTCAAATAAATGATTTACCACAGGCAGTATTGAAATCAATATTTATTAATTTAATAATTTTTTCAGTTTTAATATTTTTTATTGCGATAAATATTAATGAGAGAAACTCTTATAAAATTCTTCCAATATTGTTCCACGCGATTATCATGATTTTCAGGGTAAATTCTAAGATAAAATTCCCTCCGTGCATACTTAATTATTCTATAAATTTTATTTCGCAAGACAGATCGTTTCTAACAATCCTTCATCCTAATCAATCTCCTCGGTGATTTGATTTGACAAAAAATTCTTTGCAATTTACTCTTGAAGTCTTCGTTCGAAAGAGATAATGAAATTCGTTAACTACGAATTCCTCAGTTCTAATTGAGCAAGTGTACGTCATTATATACTCTATCTCTTTTTCGGGGTATCCGTAATTCGCGATTACATAATTCTTTGTTCCTCGTGCACCTTGTGGAAACTGAGTATCTCCACGACGCGAGTACCGTTCGGAAGGATCGAAGTACCGCTCCAATTTCATGTACACCCAAGCCGAGATCCGCACCCGTTATAATCACCGTCGAGAGAACTCGTTCGAGGCGAGGAAAAGGAAAACTCGCGGACCGGTATATTTTTTTCTCTAGATCCTACACCGTCCGGTTCGTCGCGTCGCGATCCTGAACGAGATACATCGTCTGATCGAGACGCACGGGAAAAAATTAACTACAATAGTTAAATTTTAGCTGTCCACACTGGCAAAAGAATGTGTAATATATTACATAAAAATATGTAAAATAACATAAATAATAAATGTAAAGTTACAATTTAAGTAATGAAAATGTATGCATTTTCATTGATTATCGTGTAATTTTACACTTATTATTAATTTAATTTTTATATTTTTTTACAGTACATATATTACAACTTGAAATTTAATTATCATGCATAAATTTTAACTAAGGTAACTAATATTTTTTAGCTATAGTTTAACGGAAAATGATAAAAAAATATTAGCTATCATAGCTAAAATTTAGGCATGATAGCTAATTTTTTTCCGTGAGGCAAATATCCTTTTTTTTAAAGGATAAATTTGTCGGGTATTTCATATTTCATTTGCGCGATTGATTTCTTTCGCTAATTGCTTGAAAATTACTTGACAATGTTGACATTTAAATAGAAAAAAAGTAGTTTAATGTCATTCTGCATCTAAGGTCACATTTATTCTATATTTGAATATAATAAACATTTCCTTGTTTCTTTTTTTGTTGCAGTTGCATTCCATCGATATGCAAAAGAAGAATTATTAGCATAATAATAATCGATAATTACTACAAGCTATAAAGAGAGAAATACAGTAGAATAGTGTTTTTTCTTCAAGCTAAAATACGCGTCTCATTAAAATACTCGTTACAGCATTGGCAAAAGTGTTACATGCTCGCAATTATTTATTGTCCGTGTACGACAACAAAACGTGTTGCAATTTAAGCAGAGGAAAAATTCGAGCGTGACTAGGAAAAAGGAAACTTGTGGTATGTCTCGCTTCCTTGTTAGTACACTTAATTTTTTTAGAAATCATACGAGATTTCGCAAGATATCGAACGTGTCAGAAATTTATAGTATGGAAGCATCAAGAAATTCAGTTACATAAAAAAAATGTAAAATATGCAATTTTTGTAAATTATTAAATTAGATTTTAAGATATCAATACGTCACAATTTTTACGCACCGTGTTGATTTGCACGTGAATAAAATAAATAAGAAAAACGTCTACTAAATCGATGAATTAGACACGGAAAATTGTAAAACTTTGCGTTGCGCGACTGTTTTTTTTTTTTTAGATCGCGGTGAATTCCGTTAAAATCGCCACAGCATTTGTTATGGAAAATCGATGTCGACAATCATTTTATGTTTCAGTCAATTATACGACATAAATTTGTTAACAAATACCTATATACGGCAATTGTTATTGTCCAATTATATTCTTACCATTAATCGTGCTAGATATGATCATTAATACAAATGTAATATCCAAATATATTTTCTTTCTATCGAAAAACATACCGGACAATTTATATAAAAAACTGAATTTAAATTTTTTTGAAATTCATATGTTTAATTAAATAATTATAAATTTTGTACATCGAGTTGTTAACTTGGCTAAATCGTTCAACTAACAATAAATATTATTTTATTAATTGAACGTATAGAAACATTTAAATTAAATTCAACATATTAAATCTAACAAAACATGTATTTGACATACTTATATATTTTCAATGAAAAAAATAGTAATTTTGTTGAACGATTTATTTAAGTTGACAATTTTTTCTCAATGTAAATTTGATAAATCGTTTCGAATAATTTTTTCGATGAATCTCGATCAAATCATTATACAAAATACACCGAGTTTATATTTTTTATATCGTAATAAATAATATTAATAATGAATGAACGATGAGCCACTATTAAAGAGTATCGTTAAGACTTCAAAATACTCCTCATTAATTGCTTCGTTAATTGTAATTTTTTCCCAGGCAACTCTCCTTTATTCTCTTAGTTGCATTCGCTTTTTATGCATATATTGTATATAGACCGGTACGTTTTTGAGCAAGGAGATAGAATCGCGTGACATTTCGTCAGATCTGTGTCCAATCGATTGGACTTGGATTAGACACGATTATGATTCAGATTCATCACAGATTTTTCTCGTTAATCGAAAGCGTATCGGCTCTTATGGCGTATATCGTGAAACTCAACGATTTCGCAATTTCAGATTCCATGAATGCCGGCGCGAATGACCGAGAGAGTCGGTTTGACCCGGAGAACGATCGATCTCGAGCAAAGTATGCGAGCCGATAACCGCCAGTATAACGCATTTTACAAACAAAACAATGCACGTACCTTCCTCTCTTGTATGCGATTTATCCGAAAAGCAGAGCGGGGCGAGAATTTCTCGATCGGAGCCGGGGGATCACGCAAAGGCACGAATCACCGGAGAAGAAATCCACCAGATAGAAAAAGAAACACGCCACTCTCCCTCTCTCTTCTTTCTCCTTCGTTCTCCCGTAAACACTCGCGCACAATTTCCGAGAGTTCGCTCGAGAATATATTTTTCGCGAAGTATACTCGAGAATGTACATCGAAAGTGCCAAAAGAGAACGACGTCGTCGTCGCGCGTGCACACGCACCTAACTCCTGGACCGTTTCTGGTGGCGAAGAGAAGAGTCTCGCCGCGGCGTTTCTCTCTCGCCGCGTGAACCGGCGTGAACCGAACGTGACGTTAGATCTGCGCCAATGCCCGAGCGCCCGCAGACTCGCTCTCCGTTCGGCGGCGCTCGGCTCGCTTCGGGCGCCGCCGCCGTCGCGCTTCGCTCCTCACTTCACAGTCCTCGACGTTCCTTCTCCCACTCCGTTTCGCGCGGGACTGCGCGTCACTTCCCTCTCTCTTCCACCGCCGAAACGAGTTTCGCCGTCCCTCTCTTCCTCGCCCGCGAACGAGTTTCCCCACTCCACGTGGCAAACACGTTTCATCGCACACGATTGTTGCGGAGGAGAGATCCTTGGGGGCCCCGAGTGTTTACCGCGCATTTTGGATCCTCTTCGGTTTTCCTTACATTTTTACTTTTTTTTTTCCTGGGTACGGATTTAAATATAAAAACGATCGGATTTCAATCTCGAGGAAATCGACTCATAACTGGGATGACAAATATAAATTTATGCTATACTGAATCGTGAAGTGTGGAGAATGAAGATAGATATCGCTATTTTTGAATTATTTTATCGTTTGATGATCTTCTTGTAGAGGCATAGTTTAGGAATAATTAGTTTTCCGAGAAAAATTTATCGATATTTCAAATATGATAAAAATAAATCAAAGACATTATAAAGCATGAATATATTTATAGAAATTTGTATAGTATATCTTTTATTATAACTTTTTTAGGAAATATATTATGACTGGAATAAGAGACAATATAACCTAAATAATTAAGAATGGTAAAAAAAGACAAGTAAATGGGTGAAAAAATATATACGCATGCATCTAAAAATTGAAATATTTTAAGAGATAGGAAAAATCGAAATGCTTACCTAGATTTATATCAGATGTTTAGACCAGATATTTAAAAAATATATATAATTGATATAACAATTATTTATTTCCGGATCCAACAAACTTTCACTTGATTTACCTACAAATGCAGACGGTATCTTTGACAGCGTAGTTCAAGCATTGTGGCGCTTGCATCGCGCTTATGTTTTATTGTGCACATGGACTGCATATTTATTCACTTTGTAAAATATATTTTTTCACAAATTCATTATAAATGTAATTGAAAAATGGCTAGCATCGATTTTCTCGACAGCGTCGTATCCTCGCTTAACAGTATTCAATCGCTGGAACAAGTGAAGAGGTAAATAAAATATGAAATTTTTATAGTACTTATTTAATCTAACCTGAAAAATGCTAAAATGGAGAGAATATTTTTTTCTTATCATTTATTTAAAAAATTATTGTGAAAAATGTATAATGAAAAAATGAGAAATATTTTTTAATTTTGTTAAAATAATTTTTCCAACAAAAATTTACTAGATTCAATCAAAGTCGCATTCTATTTATGCAAAAATCTAGCCAGGTTTTATAAGAATTTATATAAAATATTAAAATTTCAGTGGGAAAACTAAAGTTGATATAACAGACCTTACAAAACGTGTCTATGATTTTACGAAGGAGCAATCTTCTAGAAATACAAATGCGTTACCAGAATTAGTTACGGAAGGCTTTGATGAAGAACAAATTTGGCAACAATTGGAACTACAGAATCAAGATGAAATAAAGCATTTCTCTAATGAGATCTCAAAAATTTTAGTTAGTAAGAAAAAATTAGTAATTCCAGTAAGTTCTTTGAAACCTGAACTTGTGGAGATTGAAAATGATAATTTTGAGCAAGAGAACGAAGGCATATCCGATGACAAAGAATCAGAGGATGAAAGTAAAGAAATCAAAAACAATTTAAGAAAAAGAAAACGTGATGAAATGAAGAAGAAAAAATCCTCTATTGTAGATGACAAATTCTTCAAGTTGCAAGAACTGGACGAGTACTTGATTAAAGAAGAGAAAAAAGAAAAACAGGATGAAAATGATACTGAATCTGATGATGAATCGGTAGATCTCTTTAACGACATTTCCGAAGAAGAAAATGAAGATAATACTGAAGGAAAATATATAAAATATGCGGACTTTTTCGACAATCCTGAGAGCGAAAATGAGCAACAATTTAAAGAAAAACATTCAGATTATAACGACATTAATGATTCTGAGGAGGAAAAATCAGAGAGCGAAGATGAAGAAATGGACGCAATGGATGATGAAGAGGATGAAAATGAACAAAATATTAAAAGAGTGAGATTCAATCTTACTAACGACTCAGACGAGACGGATAGTTTAGAAAATAAAACAAATCATAGCAAGGAAATTAACACAAAGGATGAAGAAATGGAAAGAAATATGGACCCATCATCTACTTTAGAAGCTCGTAAGGAGAGATTGTTGATGAGGATTAAAGAGCTAGAAGAGAAATCAATCAGTGAGAAGCCCTGGCAATTCAAGGGAGAAGTGGGTAGTTCAACTCGACCGCAGAATTCTGTACTGGAAGAATTTTTAGAAGTCGATGTAAATACAAAGCCACCTCCTGCGATTACTGAAGAAACTACTCTCAAACTGGAAGACATAATCAAGCAACGGATCAAAGATAAAACTTGGGACGATGTCGAGAAGAAGTTCAAGCCAGTCGAAACTCCGTTGGAATATAAGAAACAGTTAGTATTAGATCAAGAAAAGAGCAAGGAGAGCTTGTCACAAATTTATGAGAAGGCATACCTGCAGCAGAAGCAAGCATTAGATCCCGAGAATAATGAAAAGAAAGAGGAGGTGCCACAGTTGCACAATGAAATTCGACAAACGATGCGTTCTCTAATGTCGAAATTGGATGCGTTATCTAATTATCATTATACTCCCAAATTGGTAAGATTTATCATATTTTGCGTAAAGAAATCAAAACTCTTATAAATATATTGTGCATAAAGTACTTAGAAACAAAATATTTATTATAAAATAGAAATTTCTAAATAGAATATAAATAGAAGTTATGTAATTTATGTATGAATCATTTTCTATTCTGGCCACAAAACATTCTTAATAGTTTTTATGATTATAATATATATTCTGTCCTTTAATTTTTTTTCAGGCTAAACCCGAAATTAAAATTATTAGCAATGTGCCTGCAATTAGAATGGAAGAAGTGGCACCAACCGCAACTAGTGATGCTACTTTATTAGCGCCTGAGGAAATTAAAAGTATGTATCATATATTTATATGTATAACATGTCATTGATTTGTGATTCGTATTCTTTATCGTATCTATAATATTCATTTCTAGCTAAACCACGTGGGGATATTATCGGCAAATCAGAAAGAACGAAAACCGATATGAAACGTGATAGAAGGCGAAAGAAATTGAGGCAACGAACTAAACAGCAAGCAGTAGAAAAGAAAGAGAAACTAAAGGCACTAAAACCAGGAATCTCTAAAAAATATGAAGAGAAAAAGGAAAGAGATGCATTGCTCAAGAAAGTAACTAAAGACAGAAATATTAGAAAATTAGATGAGACGACGCATAAAGTCGCGAAATCCTCAACTGCGTTCTTTACACAGTTGCAAAATCAAGTCAAAAATAAAATTAAAAAGAAAGATAATTCGTCCAAGCGAAAAAATAACATAGATTCAGCGGTAAAGTTAAAATTGTAAATTATACATTTTTCAAAATTTGTTTATACTTAGTAAATATTTAATAAAAAAAGATTTAAATAAAAAAACTTTGTAATCTTTTTTTTATTATGTTTTAAAGATTTCATACTCTATTTTTATTATTTTGGAAAATCTTATCGTCTCTTGTATTATCATTAATCATAATCGCAAAAGAATATAAAAAGTAAAAATTATTAAAGAACTTACAGCAACATACACTCTTCTCTCTCAATGCATAATGTGTAAGATATGTACACTAAACATATTTTTTATAGTTTTATTGCATGATATATGTATGTATTTCTAACACCTTTCGTTCTTTAAATCATATTAATTATTTTGCGATTTCTTGCGGAGCTATAATATGTGGGTGGATATTGTGCAAAGGAATATATAACAGTGGATAAGGGATTTGTAAAGTAGTCTCTCTGTGATAGAGACGAATCCGTACTTAACATTCACGTATAAACATTGATGCCTGTATTTAGGGAGGCCCAATACGTTAGTTATTGTCAAAAAGTGATGGTACTACTCTCGCCACGATGTAGGATCATCAAAAAAAATCATGCATATATGTATAATTCATATATTAGTGAAAAATGTTCCCAATTCATCATGATATGCTGTAATTTCGTTTCAATGTGCTCATCAAAATTTGCTAAAACACGTACAAACGCGCTAAGTCACACGTGGTTACTTATAAATGCAATTATTCGTATATGTAACATTATCTATATATTTTTTTTTCATTTAAGAATATCTAAAAACGGTATCTTGCACAGAGAAGCAAAGGTGGATTACACAATTTTTTTGTACATTGTCAATGTCTTGAACGATTTTTTGTCGCGTGTCGGTTTATGATTGCACTGTTTATAATTACAAAGATCTAAATTAAAATAATTAAGCTAACCTTATGAATCTAACGATAAGCTGGTAGGTATTAAAATTACCGTGATTTGTGTATAGATTTGATTGAGAAGTTTTTAAAAATACTTTTTCTTATTGTTTAGAGTACATTTTCGTTATTTTCATTTTTCTTTTTTTTTTCTTCGCTAAATATCATCGAATCGCATGATATTCCAATTAAAATTGTCATGTAAATTAAAATTACGTAGCTTGTATAATAAGCACAGATAAGATATTTACATATCTTTAAAACAATTGCAACAAGGCTATAAATATTGATATTTTCAAGCTATTTTATTTGATTAAATAGCTTTCACGGACATAAATGAGAATTTATAGAATTTAATTCTAAATATATTTCATCATTCAAATTCATCAAAATATAATATCGCAATGCCTTAAAAGCGTTAAGTGCGTTGAAAGCACTCTGTATTAATTACTGATATATTTTTATCAGTTTTTCAGCGCATTTTTGATTTCAAATGATATATTCGTGCCGTTTCATATTAATGCCTTGTGCTAAATACCAAACGTGAGTAACACATCTGTGCATATTATAATTCATTTCGAGCCCTAATCAATAATCGCTTGTCATCATGAAGGTACAGTCGCGCTTGATGTCTTAATGGCATTTTCGCTGCGAAATCATGCTCGTCAATTTGAATTTTTCAAACAATCGGAGCGTACGATCGTACCGGTGGCGTCTGATACCCACGATAATGAATCAAACCTTTCGTTTATATACGTATGAATTATATGTAAATAACCCGATAGACTAGGCTGTCCTAATCCCAGTGCGATCGTTTTTTTTTGCGTAGTCTATAATATGCGGTGCTAAATTGTTAAATCGCGTTTTTCCTTTCTCCGTAAAAGTTCTTCCGGATGCTGATGTGTGAGTGCGAAATGCGATACCAAATAGGATTAGTGAATCCCCAAAGTGATACCGAAAAGGACCGGTCGGAGAAAGTCCCGAGAAATAATTTCTCTAAAGTAGAAGCTGCTTCTCAAAGGCGTGTCGCCTTTCTCGTTGCTACTCGAAGTTGGTATTGAACATGTTCAGCTCTTCGAAGCCGGACGAGCCGCCCTGATCCTGTAACATCTGCAGCATGTCAGACAGTTCTTGCGGCTGTGTACCAGGTCCGGCCTGTCCAGGATGCGGTGGTTGCGCTTGCGCGGCCACCTGAGCGCCAGTTTGTCCGTCCGGCTGCGGCGTCTGATGCTGTTGATTTTGCCAACCCCACATACCTGCTGATGAATATAAGGACATTTAGTATCTATTCGATTTTACGAATGAAAAATTTGGAGAATAGTTACAGAACTCGTCTCGAACTCTTACCAGGATTATTAGGCACTGTTGTGACTGCATGATATTGCTGCGTAGCCGGTGTCCTAGCGCCGCTACTGAGCTGCGTATATGTTGGCCCGCTCGGTGACCTCGATGGACTTAATTGACTGTACTGATAGCCTTCTGTCACAGGTTGCTGTTAGAGAACGTAGCAGAATTTTTAGACGTCTGTAACTTCTTTAGGAAATAAAGAAAAAACAGAATTAAATACCTGTCTACCAATCGCCCACGCTTGCGGAGTTGGCGATGTATTAGTCGGTTTCTGAATCCTACTTAGAACCGACGAGGACGCGCTTTGCTGTCCGGGTGATCCATAAGCTATTGGCGATTGTGTCGTCTCATAGCTTTGATAAACATTCTGCGTGCTGGACGGCCTCGGTTGTTGTGGGCCTGTAAAATTGTACGTATTCGACATGTTTGATTTGTGTGATAAATCGTTAATATAATAGAAAAAAATTAACTTATATAATCTTACTGGCTGTAGCTACAGTTGCTGGATGCTGCATCATATGATGCGCGGAATACAGCGAATCTCTAGCAGGATGTCTCTGCAGGGAATAATCTAGACCAGGTTGTCCATATGCAGGTACAGCTTCGCTCTCCGTTGGACCGTCGTTACTTGGAAATGATCTGATTATATATTTTCCATATGAATCAAAAGATATATATAAGATATTGTTGAAATCATAATTTCAAATGTAATAATTTTTAGAGTTGCATTCTTACTTTGCAAGCGTGTTTGTACAAACGATATATTCGACGTCCTCGTTGAATGGATTTAAAAACGCAAATGCCGATGTCCTTAACCACACCCAGTCGCGATTCTTGGCTCGAAATCTGTACATGACAGTTACGACTTGCCCCTTCAGCTTCAACACTAGAAAATACAAGTCACGTGTTAATAATATTAAATAAGTAAATTCGTGAATTGATTTAAAAAAAAAAACGTAAGAGACACTACCTTTTCCATAAAACACACTACCTTGTTCAAAACTTTCTCGCATGTGTGTCATATCTTCTGGATGAAAGAATTCGTAGCAGGGATGACCTAAGAGTTCTGATGGAGTGTAACCCAAAATTCCACCGACTCTTTGGTCCACGAAGGTAAATTTACCTTCCGCAGAGTGACGTGATATAAATTCTATTGAAGAAAAAAATATACGTTATAATCAGTTTTTTTCTCACACGGTGTTAAATGGAAAATGGATAATAAAAACAGATACTTACTTAAAAGGTGCTTACCGTTATTGCTATTAGAACCTGCTAAGTCGCTACTATTTGGTGTGCTAGTGACCTGTAATCGCCCAATGGCGACAAGGCAGCAATGCGTGGTGGCATTCTCGTCCGTGACTACACCGTCTGGACCAGTCTGAACGCCTCCTCTGTCACCTAGACCCACACCTGGTACACATGGGGGAACAAAATCACCTACAGCGTAAAATCATGTATCAGTCCATGATTTCCCGTTGATCGGCAAAAATGTCTTACATACTAATTCGTTTACTATATACATTAGTACATTAAGATGTAATAATATATTGATATAATATATAGATATTAATTCATGACGAAATTTTTAAAATCCAATCTAAAATTTTCTGGGTACAACTTTAGTGATTTTTCATTCATTCGTTCATTGTGCATGCGCATATGCTTTTATTTCTAAATATTAATATATATGTAAAATTGAGATAAAGTATAATTTAAAATTTGAAAATTGCGAAAATCTGCATCTCTGTCATATTATAGATACGTGCGAAAAGCGTCACTGTATTTTTTAACGTAATCGATAAGACTGAATTAACCAGCTGTTGTTACAAAGCTATCGATAAAATAGAAGGAATTGCGCACGTGGTCATGAATATTAAACAAATACGTTAACAACCGGTAACTGCCGTGAGTCTCTATGGACGACTCTCCATTCAGGTTAAACGAATATTTTGAAAACAAGTATTTCAGTCTAAAAAAATGTACATGTAGTTAGCAAAAACGTATCATTTTTTAAATTAGTAAATTAGTTTTATTATTATTTAAATAAACCATCAAAAATGGCAAAGTAAAAAAAGAAATAACTTGAGAAAACAATTCTTTCGAACATATCTATAATAATAAACGAAATCAACAGAATAATAATCGTGACTCTATGATTTGATGAAAACAAATGTGAAGTAGAACTAAATGTAAAATAAAATATAGATAAATATATACAGAAAAACGCAGAGGCGGCAGGATTCAGGCGCGATAACTCCAGGCGATTCTTAATTTACAGCACACACGTAGCATACAACGTTCCCGCCGTGTTCCAGGAACGGTTCGTTCGTATTCCTCGCGAGCGCGACGTCTCGTCCGCTTTAAAATAGAAAGCCGAGATCCGCTGTATGTCGTCCCCGAGAGGGAGAGAGAAAGAAATAGAGAGACCGGTAACGGTGGCACATCGTACGATCCAGTGCGCGATTCTCTCTCGAGACATTGAAACCCTGCGCCCGAACTCACCGGTGGGTGGCCAATTCTTGATGTAACCGGTGCAATGCACCACCGCGTAATTTTGACCGTCCCGCGCCGGCGGACCCAGGGAGTTCCTCTGCTTCATACGGTGCAGCCCGTGCGCTGCAGCCATGTCGCCCGTCGTCTGCAGGTTGCCGACCTTCATGCGGCAAATGAAACCTCTTCTCGAACCCATGCATAGCCGCATCGAAGCTGCAGAAATGAGAAAAATTCCATCAATCGTATTTCTACAAGTACGAGTATTTTATTATGTAATCTTGGACGGTTTTATTATGGTGTTTAAGAACACAAATGACTCTGATGTATTATATTTGCATATAAAATTCGAGCTAACATAGAAAGGACCCGCACCAAATACATAGAACTGGCTTTCGATGGAATTGGTTGTTTCTTTTCATATGTTGTAGCTTATGTCATGTTGAACAAACGATGTAATAGCCTCAAAGCTAAATATTGGATAGTTACTGAGTTACAGCCAGTCAAGTAACTCGTAGAATGTCTCATATTTGACTCTCTGTAAATCAGTAATTATCTATTATTTAGCTTTAAGCCTATTGCATTTTTTGTTCAACAGATTATAAGCTAGAACATATGAGAACATCAGCTGATCTTACCAAGATTCAATTTTACATGATAAGTACGAGGTTTTTGAACCTATATAAAATCCTAGATGAAATTGAATCTGCTAATTTTCTTACACGTAACTTATGACTTGCTGAATAAAAAAATTTAATAGGTTCAAAGCTAAATAATAGATGGTTTCTGATTTATAGCCAGTTAAATACGAAAAATTAGGACTTTGCGAGTTGTCCGACTGGTTGTAACTCAGTAACTATCAAATTATTTAGCTTTGAGGCTATTATATTTTTGTTCAGTAAATCACAAGCTACAATATATGAGAAAACTAGTACGAGAATTTTTGAACCTATATAAATCCTAGATGAAATTGAATTCCAGTCAAATCATCTGATTTTCTCACATGTTGTAACTTATGATTTGCCGAACAAAAAATGTAATAGGTTTTAAGCCAAATAGATAGTTCCTGATTTACAGCCAATCAAACATGAAAAATTAGGAGTTGTTTGACTAGAGTTGTAACTCAGTAACTATCAAACTCTTTAGCTTTGAGGCTATTACATCTTTTGTTCGCAGTAAAACAACGTGAAACAGAAACAAAAACAGCCAAGTCCAAAATCCTATGTAGGTATTTGGTGCGAAATCCTTGCATAGAACTGAATGACTGCTTGTTGACTTACACTGGCCCTCCTTTTTCACCGTTCCTGTTTTGAGATCTAGTACTCGGCCGCCGTGTTGCGGTTCCGCCGCGCTGAGCTGCTCCCGCACCTTCTCGGTGTCGTCCGGATGAACCTGCGTATAGAGGCTGGTGCCGTACCAATCGCTCTGGGTGTAGTTCAACACGGGCGCGACCGAGTCGGACACGTAGATGATCCTGCCTGTGTCGCAGCTCACGACGAAGAGGAAACCATCGGCCGCTTCGAGGATCAAATGCTTCAGCTCTTGATCCGTGAGAAAGGAAGGCTTGTAGGCGTTGTCGGTAGCGGTATTTCCGGTCCCTGCGAACACGTTTCATTTCCCTCTGTTCATCAGTGTTCATCGAAACGTGAAAAACGAGACATGAGGATTTATAGGGAATAATCCGGATATATTTTTATTCGGATCCGGGGATTTATCAATAAGCCTTATATAGATGGATTCATTACGAGTGCTATAACGTGTCTCGAATTTATCGATTTTCTTTGATTAATGTATTGTGTTCTCGTGTCAGTAAGAGATTTTTATATATACAAAAAAATAAAATATATATATATATATATACATATATAATGAAATTATTTTTATATAGAGGAAAGCATATTAGGAAAATAAATAAATGATAATAAAACTTAAGGCGCAGATTAAACTGATAAAAGAAATATCGATTGAAGTTTTTTCAAGAAGAAAGAAATTCAGCGTAAAATTGATCAAAGAAAGAGTTACTCCTGAAGCGTGATGCAAATCTTGAAATGCACTCCGGCGAATTCCTAAGCAAATCGTGTCCTATCGAATATTGAAATCGAATAACGCCTCTCGATAACACAGCTAGTCGTCTCTTTCGAAGTCGACCTCCGGAGAGACGCGAGGTCCGAACGCCATAGTGTGGTACCAAAAATGAGGACGAGGCACCTCGCCAACGGAGGTAACTATCGAAGTGCAAGATCGGAATTGCAAAGTGGACGGCGGATCCCGAGAGAGAGAGAGAGAGAGAGAGAGAGAGAGAGCTGAAAGGAGAAGAAGAGAGAGAGAGAGAGACCGCTGCGATGCGATCTTTACCTCGATATACGGAGAAATTCCGGGAAGAGATACTTTAACGACTTCCAAACAAGATCTATGGAAGACCCCTGGTGACCTTCGTTACCATTATTTTCCACGTGGTGTATGTCTGTCGTTGGGATACGTTATTGCCGTCGTCATATAGGAAAACCCGATGGTTATCGGATGATATTAATTTTTTACGCGGTTATATAAATGATATATAAATTATAAAGGGTGTATGTAAATATGTGCGAAATATTTTAGGAGATGATTCTTATTTGTTAAAAATTAAAGGGGGTTCCTTATATAAAAATATACTCTTATATCCCTCCCTTTTTTCTCATATTTCAGACAAACTAGAAAAATAAAACTTAATAGATTTTCACTAATAAAAAGATATTGATTAATGTTAAAAAAATATATAAACTTAATTTTTACATCCTTCTTTAGAAAAGTGTAACTCCTCAGAGAGGGATGTAAGAGTTATGTGTGTTTATATAAGAAACCCTCCTTAATTTTCAACAAAGAATCATCTCTTAAAATATTTCGCACTTATTTAGATATACCCTGTATATTAAATATCTAAATGATTATATAAGTATTCTTAATCATTTAGATAAAATTTAATTGTCATCGTGTATGTATTAATAGAAAAAAGATTGCGATGCTTTTTCTTTCGGACGATTTTATGCATTCTAAAATTTGTCGGAAAAAATAATTTTTTTTTGTAATAATTAGATAATAGATAATTTTATATGCAAATATATAAGTGCATAATATAAATGTATAAAATATGTAAAAGTCACAGAACATTTTTTTCTTTTTCTAATAATGCGAGTATTTGAGCAATCAATAAAAAAAACTGAATATGATTAGACAAATAAAAGAGATTCGCTTGAAATCGATGCATTCTACATTTGATGGTATGCAATTCCATGTACGATAGCCGTTTAATTGTCATTCCTATGCATCCTAACGCACTACGATCTAACATTGAACAACACTGTCACGACGGTGCATCGAGAATTTTTGCCGGATACCTTCGAAATTACTCAAGTATCACATGGAATATATATATTGTGCTATTATTCTTACACATTATTATCATTATATATAAATATATATTTATATAAATTATTTATTTATATCTTAATAATAATAATTTATATAAATATAAACAGGGTGTTTCTAAAACTCTGTCAGAGATTTTAAGGATGTATTCTACGAGTCAAAATAAGAAAAAAAGTTTGTATAAATATGGATCCAAAAATAAATCCCTTAAAATCCCTGACACAGTTTTAAAAACACCTTGCATATATGATAATAATATATAGGAATAATATATATATATATATATATATATATATATATATATATATATATATATATAATTCTTAAATAGTAAATCGCAGTCCCTATCAAATTTCATGCATTCATTGCATTGTCTAAATCAAGGTATTATTATATCAAGAATATAACAAAGATAGGAAGAAGTGCTGCTATTTTGCGTATTGAATGACTGAGAAAATTCTCTCTCTTTAAGCATCCACGAGGTGACATCTCGTCAAGGTACAACCTATAAACATAAAAAACCGCTGTTCTCGCGACAGAACGGCGTCGTTCTCGCCTATCGTTCGCGCTGAACGGTTCTTCAGCTTCCTAGAAATTTTTACCGCTGACATATCCCGGGGTCGTAAAAAATCCGCTTGGTGCTCTCTCTCTCTCTCTCTAGACTCTAGCTAACTGACGTACGCGTCGCGACCGCATAATGCTCGTCCACGTAGCGCATGCACGAGGTTTTCGCGCGCGTAAACGGGTGTCCTTTCCCTCTCTCAGGTGAAAGAGGAGAGACGGACCCTCCGAGAGGAGAGAGATTTGTATGCAGCGGCCCACGTCGTCGGGAAAGAGGAGAAGCGGCTATAAACAACGCGACGCACCACCAATACCTGGGTAGAATCACGGCAGAAGCTCACGCACTATACGCAGCACGCGTCCATCGGGTCCTCTCTCGGGAGGACTCAGGTAGAGATAGCCAGTATCCGGCAGAAACTACCAAAGAGACTGCCGCCGATGGACGGGACCCGCCCGTCATCCACCGGAAGCATATATCGTGCTCACTGCATTCGATATGACTGTCAGAGTTCTCGAAACCCGCCGCGACGTTCGATGCATCCCTATATATATATATATATATAGTTGGAAAAATTGTGTTTTCTTGTTAAAAACGGTCCCCGTGAAAATTTTTGTGGTCAATATTTCATACATTCATGTGTAAATTTGACATATTGCTGTTGTGTTAATTGAACTTAAATGTTAAGTTAAGAATTTACCAAGGCTCTATAATATAAATATATATATAAATTGAGAGTGTCAAACTTAAATGTTAAGTTATTTAAATAACTGAAATAAGATGGGAAAATAACACAATACGCATCTATTTTTAATTTTATGAAACAATAAATATGTTAATTTATTAGTGACGAGATTTATCTGTTAAAATTTATAGTAAAAAATGTTGATTTTTTATTTTATAAAACAAGTAAGAATGATAAAAGAATTTTACATTAAAACTATGTTAATTACTTTGCATGAAAAGTTTTATTTGAATTGTTTTCTCGAAACTCAACTATCTTTAGCAAAACTGCAAAGTTAATTTTTTTCTGCGTCTGTATTTAAAAATCAAGAATTTTATTTTATGCTTAAAATTATTTTATTTTAATCAATATTTTTATAAAATTCTCTCTAAAAATAAAATACAATTCTTTAGTTGCAAGATTAATGAGAAATACCTAATATTAGTTAATCCGGGCTTCTTTGGAAAATAATTGATTTAATATAAAAACAATTTATAAGAGACTGGTAAAAATTCCATTTTGATAATCTTTACTTTCTGAGAAAAAATTCATAAATATAAGACTATTTTTTATGCATCTGGGTGTATGTCTGCCCTTAATAAAAATTTATATATAATTTTTTTTTAAACGTTTTTATATAATTTTATTATATAATTAATTAAAAAATAAAAAAAATTTAATTTTTAATAATTTCTAAAATTTGTATATAATTATTTTTGAAAAAAGATTAAGAAATAGGTGTCTCTAGGTCTCTCTTAAAGTTCGACGTGAAAGGTCTTCGTGGAAAATATATCGGTCTTTTATTCGTCTTGGACCTAACAAGGAAGTCGCGACTGTCGGTCGTATAAGTATCCTAAAAGCACTCGTAAATTCTCGCTTCTGTCAAGACGGAAATCTAATGTTCTCCCGCGGCCGGGAAGACTTAGGCGAGTGTTTTCCACGTAATCGATAGTCGCAGGCAGGTACGTAACATAACATATATATATATATGGCGGGTTGACTATACAGCCGTAATTTAATCGCCTTCATGTTAAGACTCCGAGATTTCGCGTTGCGTCCAAGTTATTGCACCGCTCGTGCCGGATAACTCAAACATCGCTGCAACTTAATCGTCACGTCTCGCGTCGAAAACTGCATCGTTTCTTATCGAAGGCGTCCGATGCAGGGACGAGAGGAAGAAGAAATAATAAAAGAGAGAGAGAGAGAGAAATTTGTTTCAGATATGGAATGTAATTATAACAGATAAAATATAAAAAAAGAAACTTTAGAGAAAAATTAGTTTCTTAAATTAAAAATAAATCATTAATGCGTCGATAAAATGCGAAAGTTAGATTTAGGAAAATATGGTACGAAAGTATTATATATTAATAAAAAGAGAACGAAGGAAGAAAAACTTTTCGGCTGGATTTGCCAACTTTGCGACGCATGTGTTAAGTTCGAGTACTCGAAACTTAAGTTAAATTCAAGTGGTTTATGAGTAGCTTGTAACTTATCGGACGTTCGAGATTTTTCTCTCGACGCCAAAGAACTTTCTACTTTAAATAATCGGAATGGCTTTTCAATATCTTGCCGTCGAATTTTTTCCGACATTTTTATACGACTAAAATGCAATTTTCTAGAACGTACAACAGATGCCGCAGAATTTAAAGTCCGCGATTCTTAAAAACTTATTCTAATTTTTTTAATATTTTGGGCATCAAATATTTTCACCAAAATTCTATCAAAATAAAGTTTACTCGAAATTTTTTTAATCAAGAAGAGAAAAACTGCAACCAATATAAGTATAATATTTCAACTCAGATTCGAAATTCGAAATATTTTGATAAACAAAATAAATGACTTTGATTAGCAAGGATTAATTTAAGATCTCATCGAATCCATCGAATATACAGAGACGATTTTCCCTTAGCAAAAATGTTGAGAGAAGTCAATAATTTTCGAGTTATAAGCGATTGAAAAAAATGGATTTTTTGAAAACTAAACGTTTTGGAGTCAAAAGTCTAACATAATTACATTCTTCAGTTAATTCCAGGTAGAGTTTACTATAATAAAATTTTAATTTGAGGCTTAGTTATAAAGATACATAATGACAAATATTGGAAAGTTGTAAAAAATGATGACCTTTTTTGACATTTTCGCTGAGGAAAAATCGTTCCCAAATTGACCAAAGAATCCATTCGTGATCGTTGGTCCGTTAGTTAGCGGACACCCTGCAGAAACAACCGAGTTTCTGAAGCAAAAGAGAAGAAAATCTGATGGTAAATAATTGACTGTAGAATCGAAGAAGGTTCACTCACCTCTGAGAGCTTTCATGTGCGCCACCGCCATCCTCAAGATCGTGAGCTTGTCGGGTTTCCGGGCCAGGGCTGAACAGGTCGGCACCATATCGGAGAGCTCGGTGATGTAGGCGGTCATCTTGTTCCGTCGCCGCCGTTCGATTTCGCAATGGTTCTCCCTGCTGTAAGTCGCAAGACAAAACCGAGGTATGTAATTGCATAGTTCAAGGAATCGGAGAGGACTAAAAAGAATCGACGAAGAAACCTTTTTTTTTTCGCGTCCTGCACGAGTCGAGGAAATAGCGTGAAATAACATTCGCGATACGGTATTCAATTTATGTCGAATTGCGCTTTTTATGTATAATCGCGAACTTCTCTTCGCGTAAACCACGGTAAACTAGAATTCATTCGGCCATATACGAACCACCGAGTGTTTCTTCCAATTAAAATTATTATAATTATCACATAAATCATTTCATCTTATCCTCTAAAATATATGTAGTATATGTACGCGGAGAGAATTTTCTCTTAGCATTTACCTTGAAAATCATAATCATGGAACAATATGATATTGGAAGAATTTTATACAGGAGTTTCTCTGATTAGATATTTGTCGCAATAAAAAATATTGATATATGTATACATAATAAAATTAATCAAACATATGTTATATCTTATTGCGATAGATATGATTTCAAAATAATTTGTTCTCACTCGACTTGGCGCGAAATAAAGTCATATATTTGTACTCATTAGCAGTCGTCTAAAATTTCTTGCGTCAATTAATCATACTTAACGTAGATGCAATTAAAACTTGGCATAAGACACGCCAGCTGAAATGAACTCTATACTATATACGGGCGTCGTTGGCGCCATGATCGATTCGGCCGATAAATTCTCGAGTAATTCATCGAGGCCGGGGGAGGATATCGGGGCGAGACCACAATTTGAGGCCTCCCCTGTTATTACGGCTACCAGAGGGTAACCGCCGTGGATAACGGCCGGGCACGTCTCCCTTTACTTCGCCGTCGACGGCGAGCTGCGTAATCGTCGGCGCGCAAATCGTAAATTTAATGGCATTTAATTCGCGACAATTTTCCAGGAAAGTTCGCGAGGGCAGATCCCGGATCCGCTCACGCAACACGTAAGTCGGATTCCCGGCTCGATGTGCAAATCGCGCGCGACCGGTTAATTCCTTATCGACGCTAGGTTTCGCCAAACCGCTCATCGTTTCGCCAAGTTGGTCTTCGTCGACAATATGTAAGTTAAGCCTTCTTCACGGTCTAGTTCGCGATTTCAATTACCTTCTCTACGTCTGTATCATATGTCGCACAATAATGTGACTGATCTAAAGCAATTTTAAGCGATGCGAGTATTTATGAGACTGGTACAGATGATCCAGAAGCGGAAAATATTTTCCTACTCTGCGTCAAATTCAAGTAAGTGCGCCGCAACTTGTAAGGATCTTAATTGTCGCAATCATCATTTGAATTTATCCTGAAAATAAGAGTTAAAATACAATTCTACCATGTACCTACACAGCAAAATTAACCGAACATATTTTATATCTTATTGTGGTAGATAATAATATTTTTGATTGCGATGAATATTGATCAGAGAAACTCTGAAAAAAATTCTGTCAGTATCATATCCCACGATTACGATGATTTTCAGGGTAAATTAATTCGCTGAAAAGATTCTCTCTGCGTGTAACTGTAAGATTGAATTAAGAATTACATTTCCCAACAGAATTATTTTATCGAATAAGTTCTTTATTAAATTGAGTCGTTTGATTGCGAAAATATTTTCCTATTCTGCGTCAAATTCAAGTAAGTGCGCCGCAACTTGTAAGGATCTTAATTGTCGCAATCATCATTTGAATTTACCCTGAAGATAAGAGTTAAAATACAATTCTACTATGTACCTACACAGCAAAATTAACCGAACATATTTTATATCTTATTGTGGTAGATAATAATATTTTTGATTGCGATGAATATTGATCAGAGAAACTCAGAAAAAAATTCTGTCAGTATCATATCCCACTATTACGGTGATTTTCAGGGTAAATTCATTCTCTCTGCGTGTAACTGTAAGATTGAATTAAGAATTACATTTCCCAACAGAATTATTTTATCGAATAAGTTCTTTATTAAACTGAGTCGTTTGATTGCGGAAAATATTTTCCTATTCTGCGTCAAATTCTAGTAAGTGCGCCGCAACTTGTAAGGATCTTAATTGTCGCAATCATCATTTGAATTTACCCTGAAAATAGAGTTAAAATACAATTCTACTATGTACCTACACAGCAAAATTAACCGAACATATTTTATATCTTATTGTGGTAGATATTAATATTTTTGATTGCGATAATATTAATCAGAGAAACTCTGAAAAAAATTCTGTCAGTATCATATCCCACGATTACGATGATTTTCAGGGTAAATTAATTCGCTGAAAAGATTCTCTCTGCGTGTAACTGTAAGATTGAATTAAGAATTACATTTCCCAACAGAATTATTTTATCGAATAAGTTCTTTATTAAACTGAGTCGTTTGATTGCGGAAAATATTTTCCTATTCTGCGTCAAATTCAAGTAAGTGCGCCGCAACTTGTAAGGATCTTAATTGTCGCAATCATCATTTGAATTTACCCTGAAAATAGAGTTAAAATACAATTCTACTATGTACCTACACAGCAAAATTAACCGAACATATTTTATATCTTATTGTGGTAGATATTAATATTTTTGATTGCGATGAATATTGATCAGAGAAACTCAGAAAAAAATTCTGTCAGTATCATATCCCACTATTACGTTGATTTTCAGGGTAAATTCATTCTCTCTGCGTGTAACTGTAAGATTGAATTAAGAATTACATTTCCCAACAGAATTATTTTATCGAATAAGTTCTTTATTAAACTGAGTCGTTTGATTGCGGAAAATATTTTCCTATTCTGCGTCAAATTCAAGTAAGTGCGCCGCAACTTGTAAGGATCTTAATTGTCGCAATCATCATTTGAATTTACCCTGAAAATAAGAGTTAAAATACAACTCTACTATGTACCTACACAGCAAAATTAATCAAACATATTTTATATCTTATTGTGGTAGATATTAATACTAAAAACTCACCTTTAAAAAAAGGTAAAAAAAGGCGACCAGTTAAGGGCACGCCATTAACAAAAATTATCCATTGCAAACCCATGTACAATAGAATTGTATGAAAAATTATCGATTATAAACCCATGTACAATCGTAACAAAAGTAATGAAATAAAAAAAAAATTGCGCCAAGTGAAAGTAGAAACTTGTACCAGTGGAAAATTAAAGTTGCAGACATATATAGAGTCGTATAATGAATCAATAAAAATTTAAATTTGCAAATGTAGAATTGTACCATAAAAAAACTTATCTTTTAAAAAAAAAGATAAACAAGATGCCAAGTCCATGCGCCATGTGAAAAAGTGTTAAACAAAAAAGTATTTTTAAGTAAAAAAATCTATCAATTGACAAAAATTTATGTTCTAAAATTAATATCTCTACAAAAAGTAATGTCCAATTATTGCGCGAATAAATAAACATTTTTATAAAAAATTAAAATTTAAAAACTTATGCAAATTTAAAATTAATATAAAATAAAAAGAAATAAAAAAATTTTAGTTAAAAAAACTGGGCGCGCTGCAATGATTTAAAAGTAACAATTTAATTTTAATATCATTAGAATATTATTTAGCAGCGCGCCCAGTTTTTTTAACTAAAATTTTTTTATTTCTTTTTATTTTATATTAATTTTAAATTTGCATAAGTTTTTAAATTTTAATTTTTTATAAAAATGTTTATTTATTCGCGCAATAATTGGACATTACTTTTTGTAGAGATATTAATTTTAGAACATAAATTTTTGTCAATTGATAGATTTTTTTACTTAAAAATACTTTTTTGTTTAACACTTTTTCACATGGCGCATGGACTTGGCATCTTGTTTATCTTTTTTTTTAAAAGATAAGTTTTTTTATGGTACAATTCTACATTTGCAAATTTAAATTTTTATTGATTCATTATACGACTCTATATATGTCTGCAACTTTAATTTTCCACTGGTACAAGTTTCTACTTTCACTTGGCGCAATTTTTTTTTATTTCATTACTTTTGTTACGATTGTACATGGGTTTATAATCGATAATTTTTCATACAATTCTATTGTACATGGGTTTGCAATGGATAATTTTTGTTAATGGCGTGCCCTTAACTGGTCGCCTTTTTTTACCTTTTTTTAAAGGTGAGTTTTTAGAGATTATATCATTCATTTTTGTATATGATAAGCATCTTTAAATAAATAAGCAAATTCAATTTTTCTGGCATTTTCTTATTTTAGGTACATATATATCCAATAATTAATATACAAAATTAAATATTATTCATCACACAATTTGTATCAAAATAATATATTTTTAAAATTTATTTTAAATTTATTTAATCATTTTTATCATTGTGATTGTAGTGGCAAGGATTTTATTGCTCAGTGTCATTGCAAGCATCTGGCCTGTATATACCATAATATATTGTGTAATACATTGGCTAAGTATGACAATATGGATTTTGATAGATTCCCATGGAATATTGGAATTTTGTCGGACTTGCAGTCATCCACCACATATGCAGCCTACAATTAAAGAACGCATTTATTCCATATTATTTGCTTCCGTTATTGGCATAGTGCACATTTTTATATATCTCAATGCTGTAGATAGCAAAACATTTTGAAAACATCTATCTTTCTATGTTATCTGCTTTTTTGAAAATATTGCAGCAAATTTATTATGGCAATATGCTTGTCCTCCTGCAGTTAAAGAGGCTTAGTACTTTAATATAATCTTTATTATTTGTATCATTTCCTTTTTCTTGGGAATTACAGCAATGCTTTTGTACTATATTGTCTTGCATCCCTCAAAAAGACAACATACTTCAAACGCACCAGTTCAAGCAATGTAACTTTGATATTTATTTACTTTAAAAAATGAGAGATAAACTATACAATATGCAATTAACCTTATCTTATGACTTTTATAAATCTTATGATAAAATCTAACTCTCTCTTAATCTTTATTATGAAAAGAATCTCGGTATTATATGAAATAATTTCATTGTAATTAATAGTTTAACTTTCAAAAATTTTGC